CCCCTCTTACTGCTGTTCGCTCCTCCTCCCAGCAGCCTCCGGCCCGTGGGAGTGGCCAACCGCGCCAGCATGGATTGGTTCTACAACAGCCTGGCTGCGATTGCCTCGTCGATCGGGTCACATCTGACTCCGGACCTGGCGGACGTTGACTTTGCGGTGGACATCGCGGATGTTGATCCCTTTCGCGCAGCTTCCATGGCCGAGCTCAAGCCGGCGGCCCCGCTGCCCGGCCATGGCGGCTCCTCCGTCGGGTGTGTTCGCTGTGGCGGGCCCTTGAATGCCGGCGCGGGCCTTGCCAGCTCCTCGCCCACGACCGACCGGTGCCAGTCACCGCGGCAGCCCTCGCCCAATGTCCGCTCAGTGGAGGATGTAGCGCGTTTCATCCTGGACAACGACTGTGCGCCCGATCCCCTTGCCCTCCTCTCTCTCTCTCCCTCCCTCCCTCCCTCTCTCTCTTGGCCCCCTCTTCCCCTTCCACAGGAGGCGCCCTGGCCGCTTGGCAGACCATGCCTGACCCCTGTCCGTGACTGCCTCTCCCCCTCCCCCCCCCTCGCTCCCCCTCCCTACCCACAAGGCCGGCGCATCCTTGTTCTCTCCGGAGCCGGACTCAGCACGGCGGCTGGCGTGCCGGACTTCCGGTCCGCACAGACCGGCCTCTACGCCCAGTTGACTGCCCGCGGTGTCTCCCAGCCTGAGCGTGTCTTTGATGCCTCCTTCTTCCGCAAGGCACCCGAGGCTCTCTACACCTTGGCAGGGGCCATCCTGTCCGAGAGTGTCAAGGTGCGTCTCGGTGTTCTGCCCCATGTCCCCCCCCCCTCCCCCCCCCCGCCTGCTACTTCGGCCCTCTGGCGGCTCGGCCGAAACGCCCATGTTGACTCCCGCCCGCGCCATCAGCCCACCTTCGCACATTGCTTCATCCGCGCGCTGGCCGATTCAGGGCGCTTGCTTCGGAATTATACCCAAAACATCGATGGCCTCGAACGCCAAGTGGGCCTGACGCCGGCGCCTGCCACCGGCACCGACGCTTCCCCCTCCTCCTCTTCAGATTTCAACCTCATCGAGGCGCACGGCAGCCTCCACTCGCCGACCGTGTGCAAAAATACGGCCTGCAATTTTGTCGTGCCCCCGGAGCAAATGCATAGTGCGTGCGACACGCCGGTCGCCCGGATCCCCTCCCCTCCCTCCTCGCCCAACGCCGATGGCCCCTCTCTTAAACTGACCCGCCCCCCCCCCCCCCCCCAGAGCAACTTCTCACGGGGGCCCTGCTCCATTGTCCCGGATGCGGATCGGTTGTCCAGCCGCCGATCGTGCTCTTCGGCCAGGCACTGCCTCTGACCTTCTTGCAATGTGCCACGGCGGATCTCCCCCAAACCGACCTGGTCATCATCCTGGGCTCCCGCCTGCAGGTGGCCCCCTTTTCCTCTTTGGCATCCTGCATCCCGGGGCACGTGCCGCGGGTGATCGTCGACGCCGATGCCGCCACCCTGGCCGGGCGGCATTTCCATGTGGAGCATGGCGCCTGCCGAGCGGACGATCGCCGGTGCGACCGGTGTGACCAGTGCGCTCGCACCGACCTCCTGACCGATTGGATGGCCGCCTCGGCGCCGCGATTCTGCTTCGACAACGGGCGCGATGTGCTGCTGGGCATGACCTGCGATGAGGCCACTCGGGCTCTGGCCCGGGCTCTCGGGATCGAGGCTTTGGCCGATGCTCACTTCCAAAACTTCCACCCGGGCCCGGCCCCGGCGGCGGCCCCTGTCGCAGCTGCAGCCGCGGCCGCTGCCAGTGCTGTGTCCCCTGACCAGGATGCTCCCACCCCGCTGGAGAGCGGGAGTCCGGAGGCGGCCCCCACAGCAGGCGACCCGCTGGGCGCATCGTTGTCAACGGTCGCTCGTGCCTTGTGCCAGGTGTCCCTCGGCCACTCGACCGCCAGCAGCCGGTCGTCGATACGCACCACTGGCGATGCCCCGGCCGGGAGAGCCGAGCCGAGCCCCCCCGCCACGGCCACCGCCGCCCCCCCTGGGTCGACCTGATGGCCCCCCCCCCTTCTGGCAAGAGGAGCGAGGGAGCAGAGGACCGGAGAAGCCGGCCAAAATGGCCTCCCGCGCTCCCTCTCTCCTGTTGCCGATATGCCCGTCCTTGTGTCCTGCTCTCCATGTACCCCTTGTTGCAGCGAAGCATGGGGGGTGGCCCCAAAAGAAAATACACCTTCACATGTGTGCTCCTCCCCTCTCCCTCTCCCTTTTCCTCTCCCTTTTCCCCTCCCTCTCCCTTTTCCTCTCCCCTTTCCTCTCCCTCTCACTTTTCCTCTCCCTCTCCCTGACGGATCGCACTGCATTTCCTTCTCGCCAGTTTCCTTCCTCCCTCGCATGAGTAACGGAGCCAGGCGACACACCGGCCGAGGATGATGGGGGGTGGGGCGGGTGCTTTCACATGTATTTTGTCTGCTTTTTTTTGGTTGGCATGTGCCCTGTGCATGTGCCGGGGCTGTTGCTCGTCCGCAGGGCGACGATCATGCATCGGGGGCCGGGGTGGTGACCGGATCGCGCTGGGCCCGGCGCGGTGTTTGCAAATTCGGGAAGAATGCCCCGCCAATCGGCACCGCGTACGACGGGCACACGGCCCGGTTGGCAGCCCGACCGAGGGCCGCTTCAAATTGCGTCTGGTCCCCGGGCGGAACATCGTCCTTCTTTAGCTGGGCCAAGATCTGCTTGCTGCGCCGGCCCTCATAGGACCACAGGTCGCGCCAGTAGTTGTTGACCATGGCCTGGCGCGATTGCAGAAGCTGGCGCATGGTGCGCCAGGTGGACAATTCCGTCTGGACAATGGTCCGAGCATCGGCATTCTGCTCATTTAGCAGGTCCTCCAGCCCAGGCACATGGAAGGAGGTGTCCCTCAGGGCAGCCAACGGGTCGCGCGTTGTTCCCCAGAGGGTGTTCAAATGCTCCGAGCCCAGGTCCACGGCCCGGGCGTTGAGCCGGTAGGTGGGGTCGGTTTCGGCCAGCTCGGCTTCCAGGTCGCCGGCGTCGCGCGTGGTCCCCGGAGGGGGGACCGGCTGCCGGAGGACCTCCTGGCCCAGGGCGAAGGCCACCGCCGGAGTGGCAGGCAGCTCCACCGGCGGGCAATTGTTGTTTTTCCATTGGATCTGATGTGTCGGAGTGGCCGAGCCCCGCGGCGGGGGCGGCGGGGGGGGGGGGGGTCGGTCAGAGGGGGGCACAGAAAGGCCAAGAGGAAAGGGGGAAAGGAAACCCACCCGCCGGCCCGCCCGCTGGAGCGAGCCGAAGGGGTGTGATTGCATACCCAGTGTTGCTCGTTGAATGTCAGGTGCTCGAGCAGGGTCCCGAGGTTCGGCATGGCCGGCCCCTCATCGGTCTCGAGGATGGCGTGAATGCGGCTGGTTAGCTCCGCGGCCAGGTCCGCATGCTCGGATGTCAGACTCAGCCGGACGACCATGGCCCGGTTGATGTGCGAGGGGGCCTTGACCGGGGCCGGGCCGTCGGCGGAGGTGCCTTCGGCCTCGGGGCCGGCCGACCGGGCGGCAGGGCACAGCGCCAGCACGGAGTCCAGGAACACCAGGGCCTGGATGAAGAACTGCAAACGGAAGTCCGCATTGCTAGCCTGCAGGGGGAACAAATGCGGCAGGAGGATGAACCGCGGGGCCAGATGCCAGCTGGGGAGGATGCCGGACGCGCGTTCGGCCTCGCTGGCAAGTCGACTGGCCCGAGGCTCGGGGTCGGGGCTGCCGGGCATCTGGCCGTCGCGCGACGGGTCCTCGGAGATCAGGCGTCGGGCGGCGGTGATGAAGTCCGCCACGCTGTGCACCCGTGCCGGGCGCCGGATTGCGCTCTCGTCATTGGTGGTGGTTTGGTAGTGGAAGAAGCCGAGGATCGTGCGGATATTCTGCCACACAAAGAGGACCGATCAGTAAGGGAGTGAGGCCCGGTGGGGGAGGCGCCGGCCCGAGGCCGCGTGTTCGTGTGGAGAAACGGCCCAGCGCACCATGAGCTCACTGAGGATGCCAGATGCCGTGAGTTGCCGCAGCGACTGGGAAAAGGCGGCTTGCACCGAGCAGAAGGCCGCAAACGCCTGGTCGGCGCTGACAAAGGGGGCGGCCGGGCTGGAGCCGGACCCACGGCCGGCGACCGAGCCGCGGCCGCCCTCATTCGGACCCCCCACAGGGTCCCACTCGGCCGGGCCCTTGTAGGAGGGGGTCGGGCGCTCGGGACGCTCCGCCGGCCCGGGGACCGGGGTGTCGCCCCGGAAGTAGGCCCCATGGTGGTTGGTGCCGGAGCGCTCGTGCAGCGGCAAGAAGCGCGATGCCAGCAGGCGAATGCGCACGGAGAAGTCCGGCCCAGCGGGCCGCCGAATCAGATCATTGATCATGCGCAGGAGAATGAGGATGGTCGGCTCGGGCTACGGTGGGCGGCCCCCGACCGAGGAGCGCGCGAAGCAAGGGGGAGGGGGGATGGCCGTGTGTTGAATGCATGTGTGAGTGGGCAGCCGGGCGGCGAAGGAGGCATGCCCGCCGGTGGCCGAGCGGCACATGCAGCCGGCCGTGAGGCCGGCTCAAGGGGAGCCCCTCGCACCTTGATGTTCTTCTGGCGAAAGTCGAAGGCATCCTGCCGGGCTTCGAGCCAGCCGAAGGTCCTCTCGGCGGCCGATAGGCTGAGCATGGCCATCAGTTCGGCTGCCAGGGCCAGGGGCAGGTCGTAGGCCGCGCGGCCGGACTCGGCAATCAGCAAGGCCACATCCAGGTAGGCGGTAGCCAGGAACGGGGCGCCGGGGCTGGCGCGCTGGCTCGTCGGCGATGTTAAGTCAGTCTTGGGGGAGCCAGGCCGGGGGTGAAGGGGGGGGGGGGGGAGCGGCGGGCGAGGGCGTCTGCTGGAAAGGGCAAAAAAAACAAACAAACAACATGCCGGCATCGAGGGGCAGCAGGCCGACGGACCACAGCTTCATTTAGAAGCCGGCGCAAAGCCAGCTCCAGCAGGCGCTTCTGCCGGTCGTCGGCCGCCGGGCCCGAGGGGAGGTCGGCCGCCTCGGTCGAGGCGCGCCACTTCTCGGCCAGCTCGGCGAGCGGCGGCCATACATCGCGCCGCGAGCTGGCACCAGGGCCAGCCGCCAAGCGCGCGGCCCTCTCCCCCAGGCCGGGGTAGCTGCCGGCGACCCAGCGCCGGAGAAGGCCCTCAATGTGGGCCGTCTGGTCGAGCCGGCGTTTGGGCCGGTGGGCGTGAGAGGGATCGGCATCGGGGCCAGGAGCGCGTGTGCGCTTCCTCCCCTCCGGCGCTTGACCGTCGTGCGGCATGTGGGGACAAGAGGAGGAAGGCGATGGGGGGAGCGTGGGGGGAGGGGGGGGAGGGCGGGAGGAAAGGTGCCGAGAGAGGGAGAGGAGCAAACGGGAGAGGGGGGGGGGTGGAAAAAAAAGAGGCGAGAAGGGGCTGGAGCAACGGAGGCAGGTGACGTCAGGTGAGGGGTGGAACGGGAGGGAGCCGTGCAGGCCGATGAATCCGCCCGGTGCCCGGTGTGCGTGTGTGTGTGGCTGGCCCATCGTAGTGGACGTGCAACCGCCGCTGTGCCTGCAAAGACCGGGGCCAAAACGCCAGGAATATATTCAACTTCGACCTGGTCGCCTCCGAATGCCTGTTTAGCTCAGTTGGTAGAGCATGGGACTCTTAATCCCAGGGTCGTGGGTTCGAGCCCCACAGTGGGCTTCTCTTTTTTGGCTTCCCTCGCAAGCGGGGCAAATCCCAACGCACGTCGGCCGAGAGAGGGCGAGAGACGTGCGTGGGCGCGTCTGAGCCCTCACCCCCGGGGCGTTGGTGGCACACGCTGGCGGCGAGGGGGGGGGGGGGGGGGGGGGGGGGGGGGGGGGCACGAGGCGTCGGTGGAACCGAGACAACACCGGCGTCCGGGGCGCGCGTGTTCTGGAGAATGTGCAACCGGCATGTCTGCCCCCCCTGGGGGCCGCCTACGAAGGGAGATGAGTTGCTTAATGGGCTCCGACGCGGGGCCGGGTGTGGCCCCCCCCCACGCCCCCCCGGCCCCAGCGGCGGCGGCGGCGGCGGCAGCGGGCCAGCTGCACACGGGCATGGACGCGCACACACCACACACACGTTCATATTTACACACACCGGGCTCCGGGGATCGCACCTTGCCGGGAAGCGCGGCGTCGGCTGCGGGAAAAAAGAAGGCTGGCGAGCTAGCCAGGGGGGGGGGGGGGGGGGCCGGGGAGCCGCCTCGCATCCCGGGCGCAGGCGGGGCGTACAACGGAGGGGCTTCCCCGCCGAACGCGCCCCGCCCCCGTTTCGGCGGCCTAATGGAGCCAATGCGCTCCAGCCCGACCTCCGCCCGGGGCCTGGCGGCTTGACCCGGTCCCTGGGTGGATTCTAGCCGGTGGTTTTGACCATCTGCGTCCTCTTCGCGTAAAATGGCCGCAGACCTGGCCACACACTCCCCCGGGGGGGGGGGGCGGGCCCCATTTAGACGTCCTCTCTCCCAGGCATCGAGGGGAGCCGCCGGCTGCCGGCCCGTGTTCGCCGGCCGGTCCACGCTGGGCGCGATCGTGCAGCCGGGGGGGGGGGGGGGGGGGGGTTTTTTTTTTATGGGGCGGGGGGGGCCCCCCGATCCCGCGTCGTCCCCCCCCCCCCCCCCCCCCCCCGGGAAAGGCCCCCCCCTCCCCCCCCCCCCCCCCCCCCCCGGCCCTCTTGGGCAGGCACCCCAGACTACCGGGGGCGACAGGCCCCCCCGAGGACACCCGTCTCCTGCCCTCACGCCCTTCTCCCTTCTCTGCCCCCTCCCCCCCTCCCCCCCCCCCGTGTCCCCTCTCTGTGCTACTTTCTTGCCAACATGCATGCTCGGATAGTCCCCCTCTACTGAGACTTGCCGATCCCTCCCACACACTTTCCCCTACCCCCCCCCCCATGTGTGGTGTTTTTTTTCCTTCCCTTCCTTTTCTCCTTCCAGCTCCCACCATGGCTGCGGTAAGACCTCACCCGGTGGCGGGCCCTCCCCCGTCACTGGCCCGGCTCTTGGCCACAGCCCTGCTGCTCTTGCACATGGTTCTCGGGGCCACCGCCTCCCTGGGCGGCCCCCCCTCGGGCGCGCCGTCGCCCAGCGCCACGGCCATGGCGGCCTCCTCCGGAGCAGGCCCTGGCCGGCTGCCGGGACTTGCCCGTCGGCTTGCCACCACCGATTGCGATCCCACGTGCAGTTCCTGCTTTGCCCCGGGGCCCGGCAATTGCCATGCCTGCCTGGCCACGGCCGCTGAGCATGTGCTCTTCGAGAGCGACTGCGTGAGCGTCTGCCCGCCGGGCTTTGCTGCCGCCCCGGGCTCTGGCATCTGCCTGCCCTGCCGGGCCACCTGCGCCACCTGTGCGCCGGATGGCCAGTGCACCGACTGCCCGGCTGGGCGCACGCTGGAGGCCACCGGCGCCTGCTCCCCGGATGGCGGCTGCCCGGCCGGGACCTTCTCCCAGGGGGAGGGATCTCCCGCCTGTGCATCCTGCCACTCCAGCTGCCTCGAATGTGCCGGCCCCCTGGCCACCGAGTGCCTGCAGTGCCGGCAGGGCGATCTGTTCATGCCGGCCGGGGAGGCCGGCTCCTGCCGGTCCCCCTGTCCATCCGGCCAATTCCCCCTTCTGCACATGGACACCAACGGCCCGGAGTACCGGTGCCATGCCTGTGCCGCGGGCTGCCACACCTGTCGCAGCTCCACCGCCTGCGCCACCTGTGCCCCGGGGCTCCGTCTCACCGAGGCCGGTGCCTGCCGCGCGCCGGCCTCCTGCCCGGACGGCTTCCTCAATGCCGGCGACGAGGGCGACTGCCAGCCCTGTGATGATGCCTGCGCCACCTGCCACGGCCCCAGCTCGGCCGATTGCATTACCTGCCCGGCCGACCACCTCCTCTTCCAGGGCACCTGCCTGTCCGCCTGCCCGGAGGGCAGCTTCCCCCAGGCCGGCCGGTGCCAGCCCTGCCACCGGTCCTGCCTGAGGTGTGATGGCCCGGATAGCACCAACTGCACGGCTTGCATGGGGGCCGGGGCCCCGGCCCCCAATGGGTCCGGCCCCTGCCTGGCCCCATGTGCCAATGGGCAGTTCTCCGATGCCGGGGCCTGTCGGGCCTGTGACGCCTCTTGTGCCGCGTGCGCCGGGCCCGGGGCTGCCGACTGCACGGCCTGCCACCCGGATCGCCTCCTCCGGGAGGGCCGCTGTGAGGCCCTCTGCCCGGTGGGCTTCTTCGCGGACCTGTCGCCGGCCACCGGGCCCCGGTGTGCCCCGGCTCATCCGAGCTGTGTCCATGCCACCGGCCCCGGTGCCGATGCCTGTACCGCCTGCGATGTGGGGCTCCTCCGCGCGGATGGCCTTTGCCAGCCCGCCTGCCCGGCCGGGTCCTTCCCATCCGAGGCGGTCAGCTGGCTCGGCTCGTCGGAGGGGGTGTGCGCCCTGTGCTCCACGGGCTGTGCCTCCTGCTCCGACATCGACGTGTGCCGGGCCTGCATCGCGGGCTTCGTCCTCCGCGAGCACCAGTCCTCCGGGCAGGTCACCTGCACGGATGACTGTGGCTCCGGGCACTTCGCCGACCATGCCAATGGGCGCTGTGCCGCGTGCCATGGCTCCTGCGCCAAGTGCTCCGGCCCGGGCACCTGCGACACATGTGCCCCGGGCCTGGTGTTTGTGCACTCGGCGCCGGCCCTTTGCACGGACCAATGCGGCGCCGGCCGCTTTGCCAATCTCTCGGCCGGCGTGTGTCAGTCCTGCGCGGCGAATTGCGCCGCATGCGCCGGCACGGCCGCCACCTGCACCGCCTGCCCGGCTGGCAAGTTCCTCGACCCGCGCACCGACGGGTGTGTGGAGGATTGCGGGAGCTCGCGCTTTGGCGATGCCACCACCGGCAGCTGTGCCGCCTGCCTCGCCGGCTGCGGCACCTGCAATGACGCCACCTCCTGCGAGGCTTGCCTCCCGGGGCTGGTGCTCGACCAGCAGGACGGCGTCACTGCCTGCTCCTCCGACTGTGCCCCAGGGCACTTCATCAATCTGGAGGCGGGCCTCTGCCAGCCGTGTGACACATCGTGTGCCTCGTGCTACGGCAATGCCGCCGCCTGCACCGGCTGCCCGAGTGGCCGCTTCCTCGACCCGGTTGATGACACTTGCGTCGAGGACTGCGGCAGTGGGCGCTTCGCCGACCTTGCCGCCCGGCGTTGCGCCGCTTGCGCCCTGGAGTGCGCCCAGTGTGCTGACAGCGCGACCGCCTGCACCGCCTGCGCTCCCGGGTTCCGGCCCACTGGGGCCGGGTGCACGGCCTGCCCGGCCGGCTGTGCGGCTTGCTCCGGCTCCGCCGGCTGCGATGCCTGCCTCAATGGGTTCTGGCTTGACCCCGGGACGGGCTCCTGCGTTGTGCGGTGTCCCGATGGTCTCTATGCCGATGTCAGCACCGGGGTCTGTGGCCCCTGCCATGAATCGTGCGCCGCGTGTGATGGCCCCGCTGCCGGGGATTGCATCGTCTGTCCGGCCGGCCGGTTCCTCTGGCAGGGGGCCTGCTTGGCCAGCTGCCCGGCCGGGTCCTTTGCACAGGCCGATGCCTGCCAGGCTTGCCATGGCTCCTGCGTGACTTGTGCCGGCCCGGCCGACAACCAATGCACCGGCTGCCCCCCGGGGCATTCCCTCTGGCAGGGCGCCTGCTCGGGGATCTGCCCGGATGGCTTCTTCCTGGAGCCGGCCACCGGCGCCTGTGTCGGGTGTGACGCCGCCTGCTCGGCTTGCGTGGGTCCCCAGGCGGACCAGTGCACCGCCTGCCCGTCGGCGGATGAGTGGCTGGTCACCGATCAAACCCGCTGCACGGCCGACCCCTGCGCGGTGGGCTACGCGGCCCTGCATCGGCCCCGGGCCGCTGGGGCCCCCGACCAGGCCCTTTGCCTGCCATGCATGGTGGACGGCTGTGCCGTGTGCGATGAAGCCGCCGCCGAGGCGGCCCCCCCGGGGACGCCGGCCTGCGAGCCGGCGGCCGACCATCCCCGTGGCTTCGCATGCACCCAGGTGCCCAAGTGCGACCGTTGCCAGGCTGGGCTTGCCTTGCTGAGCGCCGCCACCGGGGGCCACCGTTGTGTGGAGGCCTGTCCGGATGGGTTTTACCTGAGCCCGGCCGGGGAAGCGACCCCGGCCCAGTGTGCCCCCTGCGCCGGGGCCTGCCTTCTTTGTGATGGTCCCTCATCGGAGGACTGCATCGATGATTCGTCGGCCGCCCCGCCGCCGGCCAACCGCAGTGCGTGGGCCACCTGTGATGCCCTGTGTCCCAGCCGCTGCCGCGGCCAATCCCCCCCCCCCCCCCCCCTGCACATCCCTCTGCCTGCTCCCATCCTCACCCTCCCCATCCTGCGCCTGCTCCGGCACCCTTCTCATGGGGTGTCCCCTTCTGCTGTGCACGCACGCCAGCCATCGGTGTGGGCGTCGGCGTCGGCGTCGGCGTGACCATTCTTCTGGTGGGCCTGCTTCTGGTGGGATTGCTGCTTTACCGGCGACGCCAGCAGGATCCCACCCGGTCCAAGGCCGGCCTCGAGGGCAATCTCGGCCTGACTCCACTCAACACCTTTTCCGGTAGGCCCCTTTCGCCCGG